ATGCGGGCGGTCGGTGCCCCTGTTGGCCCACGAAACGCGGTGCTGGGTGGTGGGGTGGCTGACGCATGCGGGCGGTGCTACTGGGACCTTCGGTGAGCTCCATATGGGGCCACGAAACGCTGTACTGGGTGGTGGCTGGCGCAATTGCGCCTTCGGGTGAGCCCCCTACGGGGCCACGAAGCGTTGTGCCGGGTGGTGGCTGACACATGCGGGTGGTCCCACTGGGACCTTCGGTGGAGCTCCCTATGGGGCCGCGAAACGCTGTACTGGGTGGTGGCTGACGCTTGCGGGCGGTGCCGCTGGGGCCTTCGGTGGAGCTCCTTATGGGGCCACGACGCGCTGTGCTGGGTGGTGGCTGACGCATGCGGGCGGTGCCACTGGAGCCATCGGTGAAGCTCCACATGGGGCCACGAAACGCTGTGCTGAGTGGTGGCTGACGCATGCGGGCGGTGCCACTGGGGCCGTCGGTGGAGCTCCCGATGGGGCCACGAAGCGCTGTGCTGGGTGGTGGCCGACGCTTGCAGGCGGTGCCGCTGGGGCCTCTGGTGGAGCTCCCCCTGGGGCCACGAAACACTGTACTGGGTGGTGGCTGACGCATGCGGGCGGTGCCATTGGGGCCTTGGGGGGAGCCCCCTGTGGGGCCACGAAACGCTGCGCTGGGTGGTGGCTGACGCATGCGGGCGGTACCAGTGGGGCCTTCGGTGGAGCCCCTATGGGGCCACGAAACGCTGTGCTGGGTGGTGGCTGACGCACTTGGCTGTCCCACTGGGGGCTTCGGTGGAATTCCTTATGGGGCCCCGATACGTGCGAGGGGTGTGCCAAAGTGAGGGGGTTGACGGGAGGAGGGAGGAGGAAGGGGAGGGAGGAGGAGGGGAGGAGGAGGAGGAGGAGGAGGAGGGGAGGAGAGGAGGGAGGAGGAGGAGGAGGGAGGAGGAGAGGAGGAGAGGAGAGGAGGAGGAGAGGAGGAGGGAGGAGGAGGAGGAGGAGGAGGAGAGGAGGAGGTGAGAGAGGAGGAGGAGGAGAGAGGGAGGAGGAGGGGGGAGGAGGAGGAGGAGGAGGAGGAGGAGGAGAGGGAGAGGAGGAGAAGATGGAACGCGGGGACCGTCTCTTCAAAACGAGGACCCAACACCATAGGATGGCTGGGAAATAAAAACATACGCACACATTGTCTAGTTTAAACATCTTACCCCGACTAGTTTTACTACTATGGATATTTCTCCTGTAGAGGGACGTGCCCGACTTAACACCAGAGCAACCGTCGGAGAACCTGAGGAACAGAGCGCCCCTTTTCCGAACCCGATCTGGTCTATATGTTGTACCTCCTTGCCTGGAAGTAGGTGGCGAGTCCGGGGGGAGTGAGAAGGAGGAAGCCTCCTCAGAAGGCTCGGAAGTCCCCCGGCCTTCTGAGAAGTTGTCTACAATGGAGGCCCGTCCACAAGGAACCTTCCACAAGAAACTCAACCCTGAGACCCCAGGACGTCCACTGATTTTTGGTGTGGGAACGTCGCGCTCTCCATCGCAAGACCATCGAAACCCAACTAACTCAGGGCACCCGGGAGGCAAGCAGGGTATTTCTTGGCATGGGTCTCCACTATAAGTCTTCCCCGAAGACACAGATCACTTCTCAGAAGGCACGAGGGTTTCTGAGAAGTTCTGCCGCCTTCTGAGAAGACCTTCTCCTTCTCACTCCCCCCCCTCGCTCGCCGCCGAGTAAGGCCATCCACTGCGACAGAATATCCGAAGACCGACCAAGCCGACAACGAATACCAGCAAAACAAGACGACATCGAGTCTGCCACACGAGAACGGCTCCCATGCACCGCATCGTCTTTGGACTTCGGGCCTCGCCCCGACGCGGCATGAGGCATAGCTGTTCGGCTCCGAAGGTCGAAACAATAATAATCCACCGCGCAATTCCTGGGTCGACCCACCGACGACGCCCCGAGAGACGCCAGCGCGAGACGGTGCACACGAGTCGACCGCGTATGCCAGCAGCGGCCCAGAAGGAGGTGGCGACACGGCGGGAAGCACGCGACAGCCGGCCGAAACCGCACCGACTGCGACACGGCCAAACCGACGGAACCAGGAACTTACCAGCCTCGAACGTATCCCTATCCCTAAGATTGACACGCCAAAAGGCGATGACAATCTTAGGGATCCGCCCTCAAAAAATAAGGGAATCCCTAAGATTGGCATCGTGATGAGGTGCCCAGCATAGGGATAGGGATATGTTCCAGGCTGGTAAGGAACACCCTCCCAGAGATGCGACATACTGTTCTGTTCGACTGCACGCAGGAGTGGACCCGGCTCAGAGTGGCCTTTGGTGCGCGGCCTTCTGGGGGCCGCGGGGGGACCAAACACGAGCGCGCGAGACGCAACTACCGCATCGCGTTTGGCGATCGGGCCCCATGGGGCCCGCCTCAGAGGTCACTCCGGCGAAAGGTCACCCTTACGTGTAGTCGATGTGTGTAAGACTTTGGACGCCCGAAATGGGCACGGAAAGAATGGGCACAATGCCCAGCATCGAATGTTGTCCCAAACCAACAGCGGCCACTGTTGGGTAGGCGGCCTTCTGTCTCAGATGGACACAGGCCGCGGCGACACCAACCGCGAGCCCTGTTCAGAATGGACAAGAACTGCTGTTGGGCATTGTACCCATTCTTTCCGTACCCATTTCGTTCGTGCCGAAAGACGGGGCCCCCAAAAAGTCCTGGCCCTTTCCCACAGGCCAGCTTTCCTCCCTTTGAAATTCCGAAGCGGTGCGGTGACTGACCGTGCGGTGACCTCGAAATCCCCCAAGACCTCACCGCACGGTCCGTCACCGCACGGTCTTGGGACCTCGGAGGCCCCAGTCGCCCGAGACGTCCTCCGAGAACGGCCCGAGTCCCAAAACCGTGCGGTGACCCCGAATCCCCACCGACTCACCACACGGTGTGGTCACCACCCCGTTTGGGGGCCCCCGACTCCCGAGCCGTGCTCGACGGCCCCGGGGTCCTTCGAGGGCCCCCAGGGACGGAGGACGAGGCAAGACCTCCGCGGTCTCTCCGCTCCGGGCCTGCGGCGCCCGCTCGGGCCTCCGGCGGCCGTTCGGGCCGATCCCCGGGCGCCCCATGCGGCGAGGCGCAGCTGCCGGAAACCGCAGCCCCGAGGCTGCACGACCTCCGGGCGCCGACGAAAACTGGAAGGCGTCGAGGGCCCAGCCTGGGGAGGCAGGGAGGAGGGGGCGTGTGCAAGCAGTCGTGAAATGATCCTGGCGAAGGACCCATCCATGTGCAGCTGTGAGAAACGCGTTGTGGGTGCCGCTTTGGGTGGAGTTCCCTGTGGGGCCACGAAGCGCGTGAGGGACGTTCTGTTATGGGTGGGGGAGGCGCATGCGGGCGGTGCCACTGGGGCCTTCGGTGGAGCTACCTATGGGGCCACGAAACGCTGTACTGTTTGGTGGCTGACGCATGCGGGCGGTGCCCCTCGCTGGAGCTCCCGATGAGGCCACGAAACGCTGTACTGGTTTGGGGAAGCGCATGCGGGCGACGCGCCCGGTGACGAAGGGCCCGCACCTGCCTCCCAGGAGCTGGGCACCTGCCGCCGCCGAGGGGGCCCCCTCTCGCAGGCGGTGCCCGGTGCCCGCGGGGGGCACCTGTAGCCCCACGGCGGTGGCTGCGGGGATGCGGCAGGGGCGCGGCAGAGTGCCAACGGGGGTTTGGCCAAACGGGGGCTCAGACTTTTCCATAACTATACCCCCGTCCACTGTACCCGCGTCTACGGCGCCCAGGGCCCCCTGAACGGGGGCATAACTAGCCAAACGTGGAAATCGGCGTTCCCCGTACCCCCGCTTGCTGTGCCCCCGGCTCTGGCGCCCTGAGGGAACCATCGCGTGAGGAAGCCGGGGTCTGGAAGCCGGTGGAACGGCCACGGACACCACCCCCACCCTGACCATAGCCAAGGAATCCTCCAGGGTCGGAAGCCTCCTGGGGACACTCCTTGACCAACGCCCGCACCGCAGGGGGGGCGGGTGCTGAGGTGGGTGGCAGCTGAGCGGCGACGAGAAAGAGAAGGGTCTTATACGAGAGGGCATGGCGGCAGCGCGGCCGCCAGCGCGGCACGCTGCATCGGAGACGAGGGCGCCTGCGCGCCTTTGTACGCATGCAGCTTACGCTCGAATGTCCGCGCAATCGAACTCGTGCTTCCGTGCCGCCCACCTGGGCCAACCTGCGATGCGGAGACGGGTTGTGAGCGGATGCTCAGGTCGGGTTGTACAAGAGCGCTCAGGTGGGTTAGAAGTATGGGCGGTTGCTGGGGAGGGAGGAGGTCAGGAGGCGACTCTTGGGAGGTCTTCGTGAGAACGATCAGGGGCCATTGAGCCAGATGGAGGGGCCAATGAGCCTGACTAGGCCAGATTAAGCCCAGGATTAAGCTGGGGATCAGCATGGATCAACTGGGATCGAGTCAGGCTAAGCGGGACTAGGCCAGAGTAAGACGGCTTTCGTCCTCGGATGCTTGGATCACCGCGGGGGTGCTAATGGGATAGGGGGGGGGTATAATCGTAATCGTACGTAAATGAGGTTGGTTATATCTCGCCCAACCTATCCTATGAGTGGGTTACAGGTGCCCGACGTGGCTCCGGGGCGGAGTAAAAATCTGGGCTGAGTGCCCCCCCCTGGCGAAGTTCTCGACCCCCGAATCCACTTAGGGCATTTCTGAGCAACGTCTAGGCTACGTTCGGCCAGACGCAACCCACCTTACCATATACATACATATGTTATATATATATATATATATATATGTATACGTATATACGTATATAAGTATGTGTATACATATATATATATATATATATATATATATATAAATATATATAGTAAGCCCCGCAGTGATCCAAGCACATGCTACCCCTCCCTGTAGCGCAACTGGTTCAGATAATAGCCCTTCGACTGCCCCGCGATTTCCCCGAAGGCCGCCCAAGCCTGCGCCTCCCACGACGGCCCCCAAAAACAGCACAGCAAGGCCCCGAGAGGGCTCCAAGGCGGCCCAGGAGCAGCCCGGTCGCATCCAGAGCGCTCCAAAGATGAGGGTGCGGCGCGTTGCTTGCGCCACTAAAGGTCCCCCAAGGAGCCCCCGAGAGGGTCCCACGGCGAGCGACACTGGTGGGGGCGCGAGAGGCAGATAACTTTCTTTGATGGTTGGCTGCGGCAGCATCCAGGATGCGCCTGCCGTCCGAGGTGCACCGTACACAGTGCATCTCGCACAAGGCACCGTAGAGGTCGTCCGGGAGGGGGCAGTGCAGGTAGGCCCTCCTGCCCGTGAGCGGCATGTCCAGCTCGAGCAGGTGCGCGTGCAGGAAGATGCGCGGGCAGAAGTGGTCTATGCGGCAGCTGCAGCCCTCCAGGTACTTCCTGTCGCCGGCGAGGCCACGGATGGGGAGGTCCAGGTCCGCCGCCAGCTGCTTCACGTGCACGCGGATCTGGTGCGTGCGGCCCGTGAGGATGCGGACGCGGAGCAGGGTGAAGTCGAGACCACTGCTCTGGTAGTGCGCGACCTCCTTGTAGTGGGTCTCCGCATCCGTCCCGCGCGCCTCGTCGATGACGACGCCGTGGATGCCGCCGTTCACTGACAGGATCTTGTACCGCAGGACGCCCTCCCTGCTGTGCGCCGGCAGGCGCCCGTGCATCAGGACGATGGCTCGGGCGCGCCGAGGAGCGGGGGCCAGTCAGAGGGGGGGGGGCGCATGGTGGCCCGAGCTATGTGCGCGGACCAGGGGGGCCAGGGGATTTGTTGAAAGAGGAAGGAGAAGAAGCAGAAGAAGAGGAAGAAGAAGAGGGGGCCACGAAATCTGGGGGACGCCATGGCCCCGGCCACGATGTGCACCCCCCCCCCCATGTCCTCACCCCCCTCTTGGACGCCCCCGAGATGTACTCCTTGTACCACTTTTTGGCTCTGATCTGCCTGACGAGCGCATAGTGAGAGTCCCCGCCGGTGGCTATGACGACTGGGCCGCTGGTGTCCACGTCCAGGCGGTGCACGACGCCGTGCCTGCCCTCGCCCCCCTTGAGCAGGAAGGGATACTTGGAGCCGAGCGTCTTGACCAGAAAGTACTGCATCTCCCACCAACTCCGCCGACCCCCGCGTACCAGGGGGTGAAGAGGCGCGTGAGACATCTGGCTGCCCCGCTCCCCCCGTTCCCCCTCCCGTGTGGTCCAAAACCCCGTCCGAGCGGGGGGGGGGCTCCACGAGCTCCTCGGCGCAATCCTCTGGGCCTCGGAGCCTCTTCTCTTCTGGGGCCGGCGGGATGGCGCAAGCCTCTTGAATAAAGTGATTGACATTGTTTCTGTTGGAGGTCGTCATGGTGTACCCAGGCGGCTTGTAGCAGATGAGCACGTCCTCCCCCTTCTCGTAGGCGTGGGGCTGGTCCTCTGGCTGCACGAGCGCATACTTCCTGGGAATGTTCTTGAGGGTTTTCAGCTTGATCTCACGCGCAGGCGGGACCTGCCTCTTGCGACACGCGTGGCTGACTAGCATGGCACGCTTGCGGCTGGCGTGGCTGACTGGCACGTTGCTTTTGCGCTCAGCATGGCTGACCGGCATACTGCGCTTGCGGCTTGCGTGGCTGACAGGCATGCTGCGCTTGCTGCCTGCGTGGCCGACCGGCATGCTGCGATGTCGATCGGCATGGCTGACCAGCTTGCTGCGTTTGCGGTCGGCATGGCTGAGAGGCGGGCAGCGCTGAGGACGATCCATCGAGGTACTCTGCCTTCCCCACAACTCCCGCGAATGTCGGCGATGCGGACGCGGCGTGCGATCTGGACCACTGTCATCAATGTACGTGCCTTGCAGACTGCCGCGTCTGCTGGCCCTGGCTCTGGAACGTTCCGAGAGAGTGCTCCTTGCCGCTGCCAGGGCAGACTCCTCGTCGACGTCAGGCTCCTCCTCGAAATCGCTCTCGCCGTCGCCAGACGCGCGCCTGCCCCTGTCGAACTCGCCGTCGCTCGTCGCGCCCCCGTTGGACTCCGGCTCGCAGCCGGACTCCTCCCCCGGAGACTCCTCCTCGAAGTCGGAGCCCTCCTCGATGCCCGACTCGTCCCCGTCCCTGGCGGGCGGGGGCAGCTCGGGTTTGCCGAGGCTGTCGTACAGCTGCATGATCTTCTCGGCCAGCGCGTCCTCGTCCAGCTCGTCCTCGTCCAGCTCGCCCTCCGACTCCATGGGCGCGCCGGCGCTCCTCGGAGGGCTTCTTGACCGAGACGGGCTCGACGGGTCCAGCGCCGTGGGGCCGCCGCCCAGGTCCACGCGGAACGCCCGCCGCCACCCTCGCACCGCGGCGGCTCCGCGCTGGCACTCGGGCGCCCCGCCGCTGCCCTGGCCGCAGCGCGCCGGTGCGGGCGCACCCTGCTCGGGTGTTGCTGGAAGTGCCCCTGGCCCAAGGTGCCCCCCAGGAGTTCCGGGGAGGTTCCCACGGCCTCCTGAGCGGAGGAGGAGGAGGAGGAGGAGGAGGAGGAGGAGGAGGAGGAGGAGGAGGAGGAGGAGGAGGAGGAGGAGGAGGAGGAGGAGGAGGAGGAGGAGGAGGAGGAGGAGGAGGAGGAGGAGGAGGAGGAGGAGGAGGAGGAGGAGCATCCCTCACGAGGCCCGGAGGGCCCCAGGGGCTCCAAAATGGAGCAAAAAGCTGGGGGCACCTTGGGCCAGGGTCGCCTCCAGCAACCCCCGACCTGCGGATGGGGGGGCGAGGGGCGGAAGGCTCGCCGGGCGCCCCGGCCATGGCCCAACAGGCTGCCCACGGCGACACCAAAACCAGACGGCGACCAACAACACAACTGACCGAGCCGAGAACCGACCCAACGCCACCAACGACGACGCAGCCGAACCCGCCGAACCGCGAGCACACTTGTCCCCAGAGAACCGCGAACATCTTTGCCCCCAGACACCCCTCCCTCTGCGTGGCGAGAACTCGCGCTGGGGGGGCATGGGCTGTTCTCGGCCTCTCCCTGGGGGCCCTCGTCAGGTCCTGGGCCGTCAGGGAGCGACCCTTGGGATGGAGGACTGCTTCCCTGGTCCCCTGTGGGGCCCACGTCGTCGAAAAATCACGACAGAGGCCTGGGTCCAGCGAGTAGAGGCTCAGAAAGGGGGGTTCGGGCGGTGAGGGCGCTGGGCTGGCCCCGCGGCGGTGGGTCCCACGCCGCCCCTGCGATTCTACGTCGCGAAAACATGCAACATCGCAGACAAACCGGACCAGACCCCGAGCACCCTGGCTTCCAGCGGCATTTTCCCAGCCAGACCGATCCCCGAGGGCCCCGAGGCCCGAAAGAGGCAAGATCGTCCGCTGCGCGAAAAAAACAGCACCTGGATCTCAGGAGCGGTGACATCGGCGCTGAGACCTCCGACGCCGCGCAGGGGCGGCGGGGAACCGCTCCGCCCTGCACGGTGAGGCCTCGGGCTGCGCACAGACGGCCGGCCCCCCGAGGCCGTCCCAGCTCGCCTTAGGTCGGCCGCGTCCTCCCCCAGGTGGATCTTCGACGAGAAATGCAAAAAATGGCCCGACTGATGATCAAACATCGTCAAGCATGGGAGAAGAACCGTCCCCACACGATTTTTGTTGACCAGCTTGGAAGCTTCCTCCCGTAGAGGGACACGCCCGACTTCGAGCTCGCCTCAACGAGGCCCCCGAGTGGCCCGGGGCGGTCTCGGCACCCCAAGCTCGGGAGCGGCCTAGAGGGGGGTGTCCAAGAGGGGGGGGTGCAAATCAGGACCGCCGGCATGTGCGCGGCCCAGCGGGGGGGCCAGGGACGTAACGAAATAAGAAGAGGCGCCATGAAATCTGGGGAAATATCATGGCCCACGCCATGATATCCACCCCCCCTAGTCATCACCCCCCTCTTTTCCGCCCCCGACAAGGCCCCTCCCCGGCGGCGCCGCGGCCCAGACCACCCGGGAGAGCTCCCCCGAGGCCGGCCGGGACTGCCCCGGGGAACCTGCCGAGGTCAGCAGGGGCTTAACCGGGGGGGGGGGGGGGGGGGGGGGGGGGCGGCCTTCTTAGAGGCGCCGCCCCGAGCCTGCCTCGGGGTTTCTGGACAAGAGCGGGGAGGGGTAGTATCCCCCCCCCCGAGGAGAGGAGAGGAGAGGAGAGGAGAGGAGAGGAGAGGAGAGGAGAGGAGAGGAGAGACGAGAGAGGAGAGGGGAGGGGAGGAGGAGGAGGAGGAGGAGGAGGTGGAGGAGGAGGAGGAGGAGCAGGAGAAGGAGGAGGAGCCGAACAAGCGCGGGGGGGGGGAAGCACCCGCCCCCCCCGACGGGGGTCCTCCTCGCCTCGTCGTCGTCGCGCCGCGACGGGGGTCGGGGCGCCCTCGGCGCGCGTTGGCTTCCCCGCGACGGGGGTCGATGAGAGGCTGTCGGCGGGGGTGACGCCCCCCCAGCGCCTGTCAAGAGACTCGGAGTAATCCTGCAGCGGCCGGGGGCCCTCTCTGGTCCCCGCGCAAGGAGGTCCCTCGATGTTGGCCAGCTCCCGGCCGCTGGCGGCGTTCGTCCTGGAACGCCCGCGGCTCGGGCCGCCGGGTCCACGAGGCGCGAGGCTGCCGTGCGTCGGGCGCTCTCGAGCACGGATTGCGGCCCTGTGGATCTCGTAGGGCTTCGGGCTGCGCATAGGCAGCCCCCGCAGGGGATCCTGGCTGGACTCAGCAGGCCCTCCCGAGCCCGTTGCCCGGAGTACTGTTGCTTGCTGTTTGCTGTCTGTCGTCGTGCTGCCGACAGCAGGCCGCGGAGGCCCTCACGCAACAGGTCCTGCACGTCCAGTCAAGCCTCGCAGTACGTGTCACATTCGTCGTGCCGTGTTTGTTTTAGTGTTTTGTTACTATGTCAGAGTGGGGGGGCTGGCGTGGTTGAAGTGGGACTCCGTTGCCTGGAGTACTGTTGTTTGCTGTTTGCTGTTTGCTGTGTCTGTCGCTGTCGTCAGCCTCGCTCACGACCCCCCCGCGACCCCCCCGCGACCAACCCCGCGACCCACCCAGGACCCACCCAAGACCCACCCAAGACCCACCCAAGACCCACCCCGCGCCCGCAACTGCGGGGTACGACTTAACCCCACATGCCACCCCCAACTGGAGTCACGCCCCATCAACCGACCGCGCGAATCGTGCGAAAACCGTAGGGACCGTAGGGTTAATGATGTTGGCTTCTTGGACTTCTTGAAAGTCGAAGAGGACCTCGAGACAGCCATGGAGGGTGCCAAGACGGCCCAAGATGGCTCCGAGACGACCCAAGATAGCCCCGACACGGCCCAAGAGGCCTCCAAAACGGCCCAAAAGGCTCTGAAGACGGCCCAAGAGAGCTCCACGAGGACTCTAAAGAGGGCCTCCAGAGCTAAACAAATCAAAGTGCTCCTTTTCTGAAGGATCTTACCGTTCAAGCAGTCTCGGGCTTCAGACACCCAAGACCGCCCCCGGAGGCCTCCAAGATGGCCCCAAGATGACCCAAGAAGCACCCAATAGGGCTACAAGACGGCCAAAGAGGGCTCCAGGGTGGCCCAAGAGGCACCAAAGACAGCCCCAAGTCAGCCCAAATGGGCCCCAGGACGACTCAAGAGACCTCCAGGACGGCCCTTGGCGGCCCCAAGAGGTCCAAGACGGCCTAGAGAGGCCCCAGAGACGGCCGCCGCAGGCGCCAGACGGCCTAACACCCCGGAAGACGACCCAAGACGCCCCCCAGACGGCCCAGCAGGCCCCCGAGCAACCAGTAGATTTTCCCCCACACCCGAACATATGAACTCCAACTCCACTCTGCACAATCTCAGCTGGCATGCGATTGTAAGAGTCGCCAGGCGGGCCCTGTTTCAGCGTCTTGGCCGAGGTCTGACGAGGACCCCCGGAGGCCGAAACCAGTCAACGAAAACCATGCGTCGTGATCCGTCCCTGCACGACGCGGGGACCATGGGTTGGGTCCCCATGACCTCAAGAGGACCCCCAAACGGGGCCCGAGGAGACGGGGCCAGAGCATCGCGCGCCGCATCGCCAATGCAACGCCGATGCACCAGCGACATCGGCGGTGCCTCGGCGAAGCCGGCGCGGAGAACGTCGGGCTCCACAGCGGGCCGCGCCGCCGATGCATCGGCGATGCCGCGCGAACCTCCGGCCCCACCTGCTCGGACCCCATTCGGAAGGCCCGGGGTAGTAGAGGAAGGAAAACAAAAAAAAAACACACAAAAAAAAATAAAAAAACAAAAAAACAAAAACAAACAAAACAAAAAAAAACAAAAACACACAAAAAAAAAAACATAAACTTTCGGCGCGCCGCGCGGATTCCTTGGATTTGCGCTGGGTCCCCCTCCCTGGCGCGCGGAGCGCGCCAGGTGCGGCGCTGGAGGCGCCGCCAGAGGGGCTCCAGCTCAGGTCCAAGGCATCCGCGCGGCGCGTCGAAAGTCTATGTTGACACGTGTTTGCTGCTTCTTCGATGGGCGATCCCGTTCGACTGCAGCCGGCACGACGCCAGCGAGGACGGCCGAGACGCGCGCGCGTGCCCCGCGGGGGTCCTCGCGCCAGGGCGAGGTGCGGGGCCGCCACGCCATCGCCGCCATGGCGCAGCGCCCGCGCGCAGCGGGGGAGGGGGCCTGCGGGGGCAGGAGGGAAGGAGCACAGGGGCCCAGGGGCACACGAAGAAATCTTGTATTTTGTAGATAGCTAACAAAAATTAAAACACAACGAAAAAACGAACGAATCCCAAGATGTCGTGCTTTTGCTGCACGCTTCCTGGATGAGCCTCTTCCCGTCCGTTTCTCACTTCCCCACGTCGTCATGGCAATCAGCGCCGTGCACTTGCGGCTGTGTCGAACTGCTCCTTCTGAGGGAAGTCTCGCGCACGCAAGGGCGGTAAAGAAGAGGAGGGTCCACCTGCAGTGAGGGGATCAGCGGTTGCGGGAGCGACGGGCAGGGTGGAGCGGTGCAGTTGCAGCGTGGGCCGCCGGGGCCGTGGCCTGGGGCCCCTATCGCGTGTGCGCCGCTGGCATCCTCTTGCGGTTCGCACGCATGGGTGTGCGCGGGGGCGTGCCGCCTTCAGTGCGCAAACGAACCGAAAGGAAACGAAGGAGGGAGGGAAGCCCCCCACCACTTCTCTGTTTCCTCCTAGTGAAGCTGTGATCGAGGCGCCTCCAATGGAGCGACGCCTGCCTTCGCGCACTGTCCCCACGCCGTGTGCCTTGTCCTGTGCACGACTTCCTCCTTAGACAGGTGCGCTCCGAGCCGCTACGTTGGGAAGGAACTCTGGGGATCCAGACATTCCATATCAACTTTTTTCAATACGGGGCCCCCAGACAACCCGATACCTTCCCCGGGCCCGGTTTCTCATCGCAGGTAGTTGTTTGACGGCCCCAGGGCTCCGCAAAGCCACCCAAGTCACAATTTGTCATGCAACGGAGTCGCCTGAAACTTCCCTCGCTTCGTGCGTATCGACCTGAACCCCAAGGAAGCTGTGCACAGGAAGCCCTGCCGTGCGTGAACAAGATCAAGTGGTGGAGCAGTAGCAGAGGAGCGAAAATGCCCTGGCAACAACCGAAGGATGCCACGAACCCTCCCGCTGGGAATTTCACGACGAGAGCATGTCTGGCGAAGGAGGACCTCAGGAGGAGAATGAGTAACGCCAGGGAGGAGACAGGGAGGAGAAGGAGGAGGCAGGGAGGAGGAGGAGGCAGGGAGGAGGCGGAGGCAGGGAGGAGGAGGCGGAGGAGGAGGAGGAGGAGGAGGAGGAGGAGGAGGCGGAGGCAGGGAGGAGGAGGAGGAGGAGGACGAGGAGGAGCAGGGGGAGGAGGAGAGGGAGGTGGAGGAGCAGGAGGAGATGACAAGGAGGAGGAGGAGAGGGAGGAGGAGGAGGAGGAGGAGGAGGAGGAGGAGGAGGAGGAGGAGGTGGCAGGGAGGAGAAGGCAGGGCGAGGAGGAGGACAGGAGGCGGTTGAGGGCGCCCCTTGGCGAGCGTGCGGCCACTGCCCGCTCGTTCACGGCGCCCCCCGCGGCCGCCAGCCCAGGCGCGCGAGGCGGGCCGCGGCGAGCCTCGGCCGAGGGGCGCCGCCTCGAGCCTCCGAGGGCTGCGGAGGGGGGCATCCATCCTCACCATCACCAGCCGCATCACAGTCATCTCACCACCACCATCACCATCACCGTCACCGTCACCGTCACCACCATCACCGTCACCAGCATGACCATCCTCCTCCTCCTGATCATCATTCTCATCCTCCCTCTCCTCCTTCCTCCTCCTCCTCATCAGGTTCGTCATCATATCCATAGCATCATCACCGTCGTCACCGTAGCCAGCATCGTCATCATCGTCCTCATCATCATCATCAGCATCATCATCATCGTCAACATCATCATCATCATCATCATCATCATCATCATCATCATCATCATCATCATCATCATCATCCTCACCAGTATCATTATCCTCATCATCATCATCATCATCATCATCAGCATCGTCATCATCGTCAACATCATCATCGTCATCGTCATCAACATCAGTATCACAAGCGTCATCATCATCAGCCGCATCATCATCGTCAGCACCCTTATCCTCATCCTCATCACCCTCAGCCTCAGCCTCATATTCCTCCTCACTATCCTCTCCATCCTCATCATCATCATCATCATCATCATCATCATCATCATCATCATCATCATCCTCATAATCCTCATCATCATCATCACCACCATCACTACCATCACCAGCATCAGCATCAACAGCATCATCATGATCAGCATCATCATCATCGTCCCCATCCTCATCCTCATCCTCATCCTTATCCTCCTCATCATCATCATCCTCCTCCTCCTCATCATCATCATCAACAACATCATCATAATCAACCGCAACGACATCCGCATCGTCCTCCTCACCCTCATCCTCAGCCTCACAAGCATCACCATCAGCATCAGCATTATCATCATCATCATCATCATCATCATCAGCATCGTCATCATCATCATCATCATCATCACCAGCATCATCATCATCATCATCATCAGCATCATCATCATCACGATCATCATCACCACCATCACATCACCATCATCATAAGCACCATCACTACTACCACCACCTGGACCACGACCATCACAAGCAACATCACCACCATCGTCATCAGCAGCATCATCATCCTTAGCGTCATCCGCATCCTCATCCTCATCCTCATCCTCATCAGCATCCTTATCCTCATCATCACCCACAGCATCAACATCACCATCACCATCATCACCACCAGCATCATCATCATCATCATCATCATCATAATCATCATCATCATTATCATCCTTATCACCACCACCACCATCAGCAGCAGCAACACCAACAACATCAAAATCAGCATCAGCAGCAGCATCATCACCACCGTCATCATCATCATCATCATCATCATCATCATCAGCATCATCATCATGATCTTCAGATTCATCTTTGTCTTCATCTTCATCTTCATCTTCATCTTCATCCTCATCATCCTCATCATCCTGATCATCATCCTCATCGTCATCCTCATCAATCTGCCCCCCTCCTGTCTCGCCTCGAGGGGCCCACCTGTCCCCACAACATGTTCTGACTATCTTTGAATATTCCTCCTGTAGAGGGACATCCCGGACTTCAGCCCAGGCGCGGCGGCGGGATGAGCCGGGGACCCCTGGCCGCCGCTTGACTGGAGGGGCTTTGGCCACCCGCCGTTCCCCCCGTCGCCGCGGCGACAAGAGGCGGGGCCCGCACGGAGGGCGGAAGGGAGGCACCGGAGGAGCGGGGAACATCCCAGGACTCCCCCCATATGTTCCGCATCCCCGGGTTGTCCTCTTCCCCGGAATTTCCCATGTTTCCCCATGCTGGCGTTCCTGTTCTCCTCTCCGGGAGCAGTGACAGACAGAAGAACTTTCGGCGGTCCGCGCGGACTTATTGGATCGGCGCTGGGCCCCCTCCATGGCGCGCGGAGCGCGGCAGGGGTGGCGCCAGGGGCGCCGCCAGGGGGGCTCCAGCGCCGATCCGAGAACTCCGCGCGGAGCTCCGAAGGCTTATGTCTTGATGGCATCTTCTGTCCCCCCGGCGCACGGAGCGCGGAGGGACGAGGCGCCAGAGGGAGACGAGGACGACAGCGACTGGGGGAGAGGCCAGGCGGGACAGGCACGCCACGAAGAGATCTACACAGACGCCCTCCGACGAACTTTGCATGTACCTTGGGCGGGCGGCGGCGTAGAGAGCGGCTGGCTCCCAGTGGTGATTTGTACACCGCCACCCTCCGCAGAGGTCCAGGAGCAATCCATTGGAGCGTGCCCGTGTGTTTTTTTTTGTGGCGGGGCACGGGGGCAGAGTGAGGGGGAGGCCGACGGCGGCGCGCAGGAGCAGCACGCACGCGGCAGAGGGGCGTCGCGGCGCCCCGTCGCGCAGCGGGTCGGCCACGAGCGGCGAACGTGCCCATATCCGAGCCCTCGCGGTCTGGAGTCCTCCTCCTCCTCCTCCTCCTCCTCCCCTCTCCCGCCTCCTCCCCTCCTCCACCTCCTCCTACTCCTCCCCCTCCTCCTGCTCCTCCTCCTCCGCCTCCTCCTCCTCATCCCCCCCTCCTCCTCCTCCCCCTCTTCCTTCTCCTCCTCCTCCCTCCTCCTACTACTCTCCTCCTCCTCCTCATCCCCATCATCCGCCTCCCTCCTCCTCCTCCTCCTCCTCCTCCTCCTCCTCCTCCTCCTCCTCCTCCTCCTCCTCCCCCTCCTCCCCCTCCTCCTCCTCCTCCTCCTCCCCCTGCCACTCCTCCTCCTCCTCCTCCTCCTCCTCCTCCTCCTCCTCCTCCTCCCCCTCCCCCTCTCCCTCCCCCTCACCATCCTCCGCAATTACTCGATATGAATACTACTCTCCCTCTTCCCCTGATGACGGTTTGAAAGTGTCCGACCCCCCCCGCGTACTGTTTTTTACACACAGGTTTCCCCAGAGTTGGGTTTTCGCCTGCATTTGTTTTCAAGATGCTGCTCTCGCTGAGGCGCCGGCCTCATTTTCGGGCCCCGCTCGTTCCGAATCGTGCTCCCGCTGCAGCGCTGGCCTCATTTCCGTGCTTCCGCTCGTTCCGAATCGTGCTCCCGCTGCAGCGCTGGCCTCATTTCCGCGCTTCCGCTCGTTTCGACTCGTGCTCCCGCTGCAGCGCTGGCGTCATTTCCCGTGCCATGCCACGGCATGCAATGCAATGCTAGGTTGACACTACGCTTCGCGGTGCTCTTCTACGCCGTGCCATGCCGTGCTCGACAATGCATCGCGTACCCTTTCGGGATCATCGCCCTGCTTGACATCCGACTGTGCGAGTAGAGAGGGGATCTGCGCCATGGTAAGGGATGGGAGGGAGGGATAGGATGTCAGATATGACGCGAGACGAACACAGAGAGTGCAGAAGTAAAAGAGAAAAACGAAAAAGAACGGATCAAGAAGGGAAGATGATAAGGAGGGCAAAGAAGGAAGAAGAAGAAGAAAAGTAAGAATAATCAGAAGAGATCGGTTGCATATCAAAAAGACCTAAGAATCATTTCCGGGAGAGACTCCTCCTCCTCCTCCTCCCCCTCCTGCGTTTCTGCGTTTCTCGCTCTGAGCAGCGTCTCGCGCACGCCCGGAGCGCGGAGCGCGCCGCAGCAGCTCACGAGGGCCGCGCGGGCACTCAGACGACGGCCCCGGGAACCCGACCCCGAGGAAGAGAAAGAGGACCAGGGACCAGCCGTTTCAGCACGTAACAGAAGGGGAGAGACGGGGCCGGGTTGCAAGGTGGGGCCCCCGGGGGCCCTAAAAGGCGCGGCGCGCGGCCTCGGAGCAGGCGTAGCCGCAGAGGCAGGGGCCACCGCCCCCCGCCTCTTCAGATGAAATACTCCCTGCGGTAGCCGAACGCGACGAACTTGTCCCCCCCTCGGTGGCCGCCAGCCTCCTCCGCCTTAGGAGGGCGGCACGCTCACCACCCGAGGGGGCGATGGCGTTGAGGAAGCCGCTGTTCAGGCTGGTTACCTCCGTGAAGCCCTGCTGCTGCCCGATGCACTGCTGGTGCCCGGTGCTTTGCTGGTACCCGTTGGTGCGCTGCTGGTTCGGTCACGGCCTCGAGGGGGGTCGGGCCCGGCCTCGAGGATGAAGCGCGCCTTCTTGGTCGTATGGGTTGGTGTGGTGGCGGCCGTCGGAGTCCTTCTCGTGGGAGTCGTCCTGGGGCTGCTAGTCTTCCTTCTGCGTCCTCCTGCGTCCTCTGCGTCCCTGAGGTACGGCGCGAAGAGCGGGTCGGAGGCGAGTGCATCTCGTGGGCACTCGGTGGTCCACTCTGCCTGCGCCTCGCTGCCCAGGGAGCTCCAAGCCTGCGTGGCTATCCACTCGCTGGCGCCACGGCCGCGGGCGTAGCACATGAAGGCCGAGTAGGCCGCGAGCTCGGCGAACGAGACCTCCTCGTAGGCGCGCTGCTCATCGTGCGGGAGCAACGAGAAGGCCGAGCGGGCTCCCTCGGCTTGGACGGTAGCGAGGCGCGCTCGCAAGGCCTCCTCCACGGTTCTGTCAATGACGTCGTTGAGCGTGTCCTCGAGATCCTCCTCGAAGATGTCCCACGGCTTGCGAATGTTCGATGGGATCTGTCCGCTCTCCCATATGTTGGTGCTGCACTGCCCGCTGCCACTGCTCGCACCACTGCCCGTCGCCGCCTGTTCTCGCAGGAGGCTGCCGCTGCTCGCTCCACTGCCCGCCGCCGCCTGTTCTCGCTGTCTTGCGCCACTGCGCGCACCGCTGCCCGCCGCCGCCTGTTCTCGCAGGCTGGCGCCACTGCCCGCCGCCGCCTGTTCTCGCAGGGGGCAGCCACTGCCAGCGCCGCTGCCGGCCACCGCCTGTTTTCGCAGGCTCGCACCACTGCCCACTGCCACTACCGTCTCTTCTCGCACGCATGCCCGCGAATGTTTCTCGCTTTGCGCGCGCTCAGGCTCATCAGGCACTTCTCGCGCGCTCGTGTTCTGGCCACATGCCCTGATAGCGGCGCTGCAGCTGATCGCGTCGGGCTCCAGCGTCGCCGCCAAGGGGGGGTCGGTAAGGGGCGTCGTCGGGGGTCGTCGGCGAGGGGTGTCGAAGTGGGGGCGTCGAGAGTCGTCGAGGGGCGTCGGGCGGGGTC